CGTTCGACCACCATCTTTGAGCTGAACACAGTTGTTTCCGACTCTGTTGGTCAACAGAATTTGGTTGCTATGCAATGTGCATGCAGCCCTTGTTTTCTAAGAGGGAGATGAAGTTTCTAGCAGGACACTGACCCATAATTTTTCCCATTCTGGTACATCCACATTTTGCAAATTAGGGTCCATTCTGGTTTTGCTTTGTTGGCATAACTGAACTGGGAAGAACCAGTTCAAAGGCCCTGCCAAAACCAAAATGGAGCCCATGCCATTGAGTTGACTCAAGTCGTAGTTCACCTACAGAACAGAGTAGAAATGCCCAATAGTGTTTCCAAGGCTGTAATCTACAGGAGCAGATTACCAGGTTTCTTTCCTGTGGAGCAGCTAGTGGGTTTGAACCGCTGACCTTTAGCTGCTGAGTGTTTTAACCACTGCATCACCAGGGCATCTTAGGTCTCTAGAAAGATGATTCAGAGACATGACTATCCCCTCAGGGTTCAAAGTGATCATTGCTTTACAAGTAAGATTTTACAGTAATTATGAAATTTAGGGAGTATTATAAAATTGAGAAACATTTCAAGGGTTTATATGTGAAGAAAATATGGCTGTACTTTTTTATTAAGTTAAAATAGTTCAGAAATTATACCTAAGACAATCATCAGTGGTAATAATAGCAATTTAATTTAAATGTAGGATGAGAACCCTTGGAAGGGAAGGATAAGAGAAAAATTGAATACAAAATTAAGTTTTAACTTCTCTTAACCAATAGAATGTTCTGATTCTCAGTTATTCTATCAGAGTTAGCTTGTCCTGCAATTTAAGGGAGCTGTTCTGTGGGTTTAGTTGCTATGAGAGTGAGCCCTGGAGGTGCAGTGTTTAAGCACTTGGCTGCTAATCAAAAAGTCGGCAGTTCAAACCCATCAGCTACTCCATGGGAGAAAGATGAGGCAGTCTGCTTCCATAAAGATTACAGCCTTGGAAACCCCATGGGGCAGTTCTCCTCGGTCCTGTAGGATCGCTGTGAGTTGGGATCTACTTGATGGCGGTGGGTTTGGTTTTGGATGTTTACTAGAGGGGATGGGAACTGGCTTGAAGGAAACAACGCTGCTGTTCTAGATCTGGCCCCTTCATAGGTAATGTCTTTGTTTAAATTTCAAGTTGTCTTGCTTTTGCTCTGGAATCTAGCATATGAGGCTCAAGAATCCGAAGTCTCAAGAAATATGCTTGACATTCTAATTTGAATAACCAGCCAAAAGACCTTATTCCCAGAAGCCAGCCATAAACTCAGATGCAGTTTGATTGGGAAAAATAATGATAAATTCACTTCTCTTATGTGACTTTCTAAACTAGCACTAAGAAACAGAATGAAACTTTTTTCCTAAATTTTATTTACTTCGTTTTTGTCCACAACATGCCTAGCAAAACATGCACCACTTCAGCAGTTTCTCCATGTACCACTTAGTGGCATTGATGACATGCTTTGAGGAGTGCAACCATTCTCACCCTCCTTTTCTGACTTGTTCCTCCCTCATTAAGATGAACTCAGTATCCCCTGAGGTTCTCTTCTCATCTTGTGGGTTGCTGTTGCCTATCCGGTCCCCTAGAAATAGTTCTTAAAAGAGCATAATACTCAAAAACCATTCCAACTCATAGTGACCCCATTGGGTTTCCAAGGCTATAAATCTTTGCAGAAGTACATTGCCTCATCTTTCTCCTGTGGAGTGGCTGATGGGTTTGAACCACTGACCTTGTGGTTAGCAGTCAAATGCCTTACCTTATAATACTCAAAAACAAAAACCAAATCAAACTCACTGCCATTGAGTCGATACTGACTCGTAGGAATCCTGAGGCAGAAAATCT